TGGTAGTCTTGCATTCCGCTGTTATTATCTGTTCTGAGTATTTTTCTGAGATGCGTTCGGAAAGTATCCTCTTTGTGCTGTCAGTGTAATCTGTTACTCAAAAACAAGCAAACTTATACATCCATGAATGTCAGACCGACTGGCGAAGACAATTCAAACCTTAGCTAAATAGAAAGTTTTTCTCAGGGATTTTGAAATTTGTTTAATTATAGTTACCACAGCTGTACCTCATTTAAGTTCCATATTCATAAAAGAGCTTTTTTGAACTACCGGTGATCTTAAGTTTCCATCGATGAGCCTATGCGGATAGTCATTTCTGACCAGCATTTGTAGGAGTTGAAATAATTTGTCGTTTATCCGCGTAATCTTCGAGAATAAGGATTCAGTTAGGTTTTGTCTTTCTGCTCAAAGAGACTCAAATATGAAAATTTGTATACTGATAACTCCACGTTGGCTATGTATGCAAAAATCCTTATAAAGAACCATCTAGCTTTCTCAACAGGAAATTGAGGAAATAAATTTCCACGTTCACTCCTGCTTCTAATTCAAAGTTTACTATATGATAACAGTTGTTGAATTCGTCCAAGATTTCATTATGGTCCATATTTTCTTCAGGAATAACGAAATATGGGATCTTTTTATGATGTAATCTGTCTTGTTCTTTTATAGACTCAAATATTTATTGAACAAGTATGGATACGAATATGTAGCTTAGGTAAATAATTTCATCGAAAGGAAAATTTTCTCCACTGAATTCTCTATAATTACTATCCTTGAAATTCTTATTTGACAATTGTGTTTCGCATTTTTTAATCTTAGGTGGCGGAAAGAGCCTGTGTTATCAGCTTCCAGCTGTTGTTCAGTCTGGCTTAACGGTCGTAATTTCTCCTTTAAAAGCACTAGTGTTGGATCAAGTTACAAAACTTCAGTCACTTGGTGTAAGTCTCATTTTTAAGATGTATTTTCAGTATAATTAGTGAGAGTGGTGCGAAAACTAAATAAAACGATTAAAAATTAAAATAAGAGCTGTAGTGTCAAGTATCATGCTAAATCCTCTGTAGTTGTAATTTTCTTAAACGTTTTTACCGTACTCCCTTATTGTGTTTTCTGGCTTATCATAAGAAAAAACGGCCTTTTGTATTTTTTAACAAGTAATAAGCTCTCTGGCCAACTTTGTCACACATTATTTTGAGTTTGTATAACTTAGTCGTAGAATTTTACTTTCACTCTTGTTGAATAATAGTGAATTTTTGCTGCATTTTTCGAAGTTTACAAAATTTCTATTTCAGCAAATATTCTGTTACTGCTAGTTATATTGCTTCTTGTATTTTATATTTTACTATGCTTATTTCCTCATTGTTTCTTTTGCGTAGCTCTGCAGTGATGTGTAGTTTTTGAAATTTTTAAGGTGCAGTTTTTAAACTTCTCATCAGGTGGCTTGCAACTACTAAAAATTATATGATATTACAGATCGAAGTTGTCTTGTTTTATCTTTATCGTAGTATCTCGGATTTACTGTGGGATATTTTTTTGAGAACTGGTTAATCATTTTGATTATAATATATATTGCATACACATAGTTCCCCTTATTATCCTGATGATAGCAAGAACGAAGATTGATGCAGAATAATATGAATTCATATTATTTCGTTAGGTTCTTGTCAGCTGCCTACAACCTTTTTTATTTTTATTTTTATTTTACCACATGGATATTGGTACAAGAAGGCACCAAATACATATGCGCCACACAAATCTCATTCGACATGTGTGAGGGTTGTGATGCTGCCCGGGTGCCCAAACTGAAGCAGGTGGTTTTCTTAGGGGGCCACACCCCGAGCCTTCGACCTGAAGGTCTGATCCACAAGGCAGTGGAGCATCGTAAGGAGATGCAGTCCCATGGAAGCCGGTGACCAACAATTGGTTCATACGCAATTTGTTCCCTCAGGATACTGGAACCCATGTGCACCATTGGTTTGGAAACCAGTTAAAGCGCCGGACATTAGCTTTTCGTCCTCTCATTTTCGTAAACAACACCCCCGCCACGAGAAGGCAGTGAGTAGGACTTCCCTGGCAGAGGCTATATACACGTGGCCATGTGAGAGCATTTCGAGAGGGAGTGCGGGGTCTTCCCACTCTCGGTCGTACCAGGGCATTTGGGGGCATTACAGATAGTGACATTGATTTTAAAATATTATAGGTTGTAAGCAGCTGACGAGAACCTAACGAAATAATATGAATTCATATTATTCTGCATCAATCTTCGTTCTTGCTCTTTCTAATATAATATATTGCTAAATTTGATTTAAAACATTTTTAGTTTTTGGCTTGTGTGACTAAATGGGAACATTCCATTACTTCTAATTCGTTTTATTGTGGTAGATGACTGTAGCCGTGTATTATAGACATAAGCTCTCCTAACTATTTATCGAGATGACTTTGTTTACGATCAATTTGCCTTTTCTTCTTGTAGTTTCATTCATAACAATTTTGTTGTCAATACTACCGATTTATTAAAAATTATCTTGGGATTAGAAGTGTACTCACCTTTGCTTATTTTTAGGTTCCAGCGGCTCATCTGACAGGTGAGGCCAGTCTCTCCGAAAGTGACCAAGTATACACTGCTTTACATATGGCCAATCTCCGCTTAAAACTTTTGTATGTAACACCAGAGAAAGTATGTTCTTTTTTACGTAAATCACACACTCCTTGATATAAGTTTGTGCTATAATACATTGAAGTATATTTTAACTGTTGTTAAATTATGTCTAACACAGTATACATATCATCATATAGTAACCGAAAAATAATGTGGTTATTAGCCTTTAGGTACGTAAAAGTGAAGTATAATCACTGTGTTAAGCGTCAGCCTTTTGGTTAGGGCTCATGGATTTCAACCTTTAAGTCTTATATCTGAACCCTGTCTCACTCGTTTTATTTAGGAAAGTTGGGTGGCATCATTAGCCTTTATGCAGACGTTCTGCTCAAAACCGAGTATACCAAGCTGTTTGGTAAATAAACTACATTGTCTTAGTATTAAGGATGTTGATATTCTGCTCTGCATTTTCTTGAATGTATGTTCCTCACAGTTCATAAAGTTTTTCGTTTCAACCTGATCTGTAGTACTCGCAGTGTTTATAAGTCTCTTTAAAGTTTTCATGGTGCTCTCAAAAGGGAGACGAAATAATGTAGGAATAACCGTTTCAATTACCAGCAGTAGCTACTATATACTGTTCCAGGACCCAAAAGGTTGACTTGGTTCAAGTCATTTATTTGGTAAGTAGCATATCTCTAGAGAATCTCCAAAGAAATCAGTAACATTTAGTGGAATACTTCAAATGGTATTTCTTCAACATCTTAGGTGTTGATGAGTGTGTTTCGGAAAATCTTCGATTTCTACTAAAGAATTCCTGCTATGTCTGTGTCTTAGTAGCACCATTACTTTTTATTATTGATGGTGTAGTTCTTTTTATTGTGTTAACGTCAGGTATAATTACCTTTACCACATAACCTATGGTATGAGACTGCTTAAATAGTAACTTCTTAAATTTTTCGTAATAAATTTCTAGATCGCTGCTTCTGATAAGCTGAAAGGATGCCTAGAACAACTGTACAAACGTAAACGTTTAGATCGTTTTGTGATCGATGAAGCCCACTGTGTCAGTCAGGTGAGTCTTTTAGTAACAATACAGTGGTTGAGATCCACAAAACCCCTTCTGATAACAATACATTGCACGCAAGTAAAAGCTATCCGCATGTTTTTTCTCACAGTTTTCTTTTCTTTTTGTGAATCAATCAATCTGTTTATTTTTTGCTGTCTGATTGTATTTTTTACTATTGATAGTGGGGCCATGATTTTAGACCGGATTATAGAAATCTAAGCATTCTACGAATCAATTTCCCAGACGTACCGATGATGGCCATGACTGCTACAGCTACACCAAAAGTTCGTAGAGATATTCTACTTCAGCTGAAAATGACAAATACTAAGTGGTAAGTTATTTTTGTTCATAATTTCATCTCTATCAGCGGTTCAACAAATTATAGTCAATAAAATCGTATTGAGTAATGTAGGGCCCCCGAATGCCCTGGTACGGCCGAGAGTGGGAAGACCCCGCACTCCCTCTCGAAATGCTCTCACATGGCCACGTGTATATAGCCTCTGCCAGGGAAGTCCTACTCACTGCCTTCTCGTGGCGGGGGTGTTGTTTACGAAAATGAGAGGACGAAAAGCTAATGTCCGGCGCTTTAACTGGTTTCCAAACCAATGGTGCACATGGGTTCCAGTATCCTGAGGGAACAAATTGCGTATGAACCAATTGTTGGTCACCGGCTTCCATGGGACTGCATCTCCTTACGATGCTCCACTGCCTTGTGGATCAGACCTTCAGGTCGAAGGCTCGGGGTGTGGCCCCCTAAGAAAACCACCTGCTTCAGTTTGGGCACCCGGGCAGCATCACAACCCTCACACATGTCGAATGAGATTTGTGTGGCGCATATGTATTTGGTGCCTCCTTGTACCAATATCTATGTATTAAAATAAATGAGTAATGTAGGTGTATTGTTATCATGTGTTGTATTCGGTTACCTCCGTCTGTGTCCTCGTAACTCAAGACTTCCATTATTACTTGAAATCCGAGCCTTACTGTTCATCATGTATAACTATTTAGAATTTTGGGTAGGAAAATAAATTGGTGAAGGTCTATGCTATTGCAAGTTTTTCTATGAAACAGTGTCATTATACATATGTTGCTTACTGTTATTATTATTATTATTATTATTATTATTATTATTATTATTATTATTATTATTATTAATGGCTTTATTCAATATTATATTTTGGTACAATATAGAATTCTCAGCACAGGGTATTTCAACAAGTTACTTATGCAAACAAAAATAGTAACAAAGACAAAAAAGTTTAAAAAAAAATAAATAAATATCTGAGAAACAGTACAACATTTAAAATTAAAGTTATGTTAAGAATGCAGGTTATTGGCTAGATTAACTCTAACAACCTGTTCGTCACAGAGTATATTTGCTAGATAAGGTATTATAGAACATTTGTACTTTTCCTTGCGTGCATGGATTTTAATGTAATTACGTCTCGTTCTACCAGAAGATATTCATGGAGAAAGATAAGAGTGAAGGGGATGGCTAGTATCTGATAAAATGACACCTGCCAGGAGTTTGCATGATTTTAAATGTCTATCCACAACCATATTAATTATGACCTCGAAAGATTCACCACACACCTTGCTAACTGCCTTCAGCATTCTTCGCAATACAGCAAAGTCTTTTCTCAAAAGCCCGGGAAAGAATAATGGAGAACAGTAAAGAATAATAGGTAGTATGCAAGAATTGACAAATTGTAAGAGTAAATGACGAGTAATTCCAAGAGCATGCAATCTCTTTATGTAATAGGTCAGACGGAAAACCTTCTTCGATAACGATAAAACGTGGGAAGACCAAGACAGATCAGAGGAAAAGGTGACACCAAGATAATTGACCTTCGACACTGAGTTTATCAAAGAGTCTCCGATGGTACAAGCACTATGGGATCTCAAAATAGTGTTTATATTCCGTTTATGTCTCATGCTAAAGTTAACAGCTTGACATTTAGACGGATTAAGTATGAGACCATTACCAACAGACCAACAATCAATACGAGACAAAAACTCATTCATTTCTATGGGATGTAAAGAGGAAGATATAGGCATACATACAGTGAGGTCATTCGCATACTTCACAAAAGTGTTTTCTGTGGAAGATGGCAGGTCATGCAGAAAAAAAGAGAATAGAAGAGGTGAAAGAACGGCTCCTTGTGGTACACCTTCATGAGACAGTAGAGACTCTGAACTCTTTCCTCCAAACACAGTGTATTGTTCCCTTCCAGAGAGGTAGGAACATAGCCAGTTGGTTATCCAGCTGTCAGTGTTGACGCTGATTAACTTGTTAAGTAAACGTTGTCTTGGTATAGAGTCAAAAGCTGAAGTATAGTCCAGAAAAGTACATCGAACATACTTCTTACCCTTTTCTAAGTTGAACACTATGTTGTGATGCAGAACTGCAACAGCATCTAAAGTGCTTCTTTTGCGCCTGTATGCAAACTGGTATGGGTCAGTATGCTCTTTAATCGCAGGCTGAAGTGGAAGAATTAATAATTTTTCCATGGTTTTGAGGAAGGGTGAAGTTATTGTAATAGGTCTAAATTTTACATTCTTATCACCAAATGCTTTCTTGGGTACAGGAATTATCTTCATCTTTCTCCACATTTTCGGTATGAGATTAGATGAGAAGGATCTGTTAAATATAGTTGTGAACGGATGACACAGAACGTCAGCACATTTTTTAAAAAGGATGTTTGGGATACCATCAGGTCCTAAACATCGAGATGAATTAAGCGACTGGAGACATCCTCGTACATCAGTTTCGGTGAAAGTAGGAACACAGCTAGTTTTTAAACCCGTGGATAGAGGGAGCATCACATCAGATGACTGACGTACAAAAGACTTATTTAAGTCACAAACATTCAGCTGGTTATCGATTCTAAACTTTCTGTCACCTGTAAGTTCTTTAAAGAATTTCCACATACTTGGAGAGTTTTTGCAAGATAAGAGCTTTTGAGTAAACATACAGTTGAGACGTCTAATCTCTAGGTTTATCAGACCATTTAGCTTACGAACTTCATTAGAGTTCTTCTCCTTGTACATGCTTTCTTTCATCCTTCGTAGTCGTTTTAGTTGTGAAGATGTAAGTCGATCAAAACTTACAAAAATGGTTTCGGTGGGACAACAAATATCAAAACAGAATTTAAGGTAACAAGTGATAACATCAGTAGTGTTTTCCAGTGAGTCATCTGTAAATAATTCCCAGTTAGTCGTATGAAACATGTTTTTCAGATTTCGGATATTTTCTTCTGTGTAATTCCTATATTTGACTTTTCTGGTTTGACGTAGGAGTGTACTCTTCCCATGCTTTCCATATACTTTAGGTAGAACACGAATTATACAGTGATCTGAGCTAGACAATGGAGCACGTTTACGAGTCGCATATATACCCACATCATTAATGAAGACGAAGTCTAGATGAGCATCCAGACGGGTAGGAAAATCTACATTTTGGTGACCTAGTGACGTAAGGAAGCTACAGTCACATGAATTGAAATCACCACATACAACTGAAAGTGAATCACTGAAGGCAGTAACAGCGAACTCAGTGAATTCATCAGCAAAAACAGATAGTGCAGATGATGTGCAATCTGGAGTCACGTAGATGTTGGTCACATAAACATATTTGTATTCACTCAGATGTTTTGGACGACATCTTAGAGTTAGACAGTCGATAAAGTCATTTGAAAACTTAAAACACAAACGAAGATCGACACGTTTACGTTTACAAACGGAGCTACACCACCGCCACACCTCTTTTTATTGTTTGATCGATCCTGACGATAAATTTCGAAATCACGTAGTGATATTAAACAGTCGTCCTGTAAATCATTTAACCAAGATTCTTGAATTGTGATGACACCACAATTACGATACGTATTTTGACTAAGTAAGAATTGCAGATAGTCCACTTTGTTGATTAGTGATCGGCAGTTAGAATTTAGTAGCTCGGGAATTGACATATGTTTAATGTTCATTCTCTTTAACGAATATTGCCAACCACCACGATGCCTTTTATAGTACTTTTTCGTAACTTGTGCAGCGGAAGGTCGTAGGCTTTTCATAAAAGCGCCTGAATAGGTTATGCGATTAATGGACATAATTATAAATTAAAACAAATGAAAAACAGATAACTTGTTGAAATAATCAGATGGCAGAAACAGGTAGCCCAGATATTCAAGCAGGCCGCCTCTAAAGTCATGGAGTGATACGTATTTGAATATTTTGCAACTCCCGCGTATCGTTGGTAATCAGATTGGTGACTGGTTCAAGGCTTTCACATCGGGTTGGAATCTACGGTATTCTATAGTTCATTTATTCCACTTGTTTCATAAGATAGCAGTGATATTGTGCTACTTATATTGAAATAAGTAGTATATGATGTTAGTCGTAGACAGGAGGTCTGGAAGCAGAGAGACAAGAGGATTGAACAGTAAAGAATGGAAACAAAATCCAATTTGTATGAAAGTGCAAGAACAATGAAGTCCGAGTCATTTTGAGACAATCGATGAACATCTTGCAAATTAAGCATTTACTTTATGATTGCTAGATTTTATTAACAAGTTCTGTAATTTTGTGTTAGATACATTCGATTGTCTCCACCCGTGTTCTGTTCACTACAATATGACCCAGCAGGTTATAGTCCGATAATCTAAACGAACTTATATTTCTTTTTCATGTAACATAACATTGCAAATCAATCAGCATTCGTCTCGACGATGTAGCATCTGTCAACCGATCCATCTTTCAGCAGGTATCGATGCAGCGGTGCTTAAACTTGTTAAATTCACAAAAGAAGTTTTATTTAGTTTAAGATAGTTACTTTCAGATGTAAATGTTTTCGTCACATCTACAATGTAAGCTATTAGTTTGGGACCAATACAACTCGTCACTTGTTTTCACTAACTGTTAACCTTAGTCAAGTACAATCAGCGTTCTATGTGAATACGGTTTGTGCATTTCTTTGTAACAGTTCATATCACGTCCAATATCTGGATTCACTCACTATTTATCTTTATTTTCTCGAATATTAAATATTTTACTATTATGGACCTTGATATACCTTGTCGTATTACTTCTTGTTTTTAACTATCACTAATGTTTTTGTCATATCGGGTTGTTACTCTTTGTATAATTGCTTGAATTGGTTTTGCACTCTATTAGATTATTTTTTATTATTATTTATTATTTATTTTAACGCATGGATATTGGTACAAGGAGGCACCAAATACATATGCGCCACACAAATCTCGTTCGACATATGTGAGGGCTGTGATACTACCCGGGTGTCCAGACCGAAACAGGTGGTTTTCTTAGGGGGCCACACCCCGAGCCTTTGACCTAAAGGTCTGATCCACAAGGCAGTGGAGCATCGTAAGGAGATGCAGATCCATGGTAGCCGGTGACGAACGGTTGGTTCATACGCAATTTGTTCCCTCAGGATACTGGAACCCATGTGTTCCATTGGTTTGTAATCAGGGTTTTCTAACTCCCCTAGGTGAACTCTTCGTGTCCACCAACCCGGTTAAAGCGACGGACATTCGCTTTTCGTCCTCTCAATTTCTTAAAAAAATAACCCCCACCACGAAAAGGCAGTGAGTAGGACTTCCCTGGCAGAGGCTATATACACGTGGCCATGTGAGAGCATTTCGAGAGGGAGTGCGGAGTCTTCCCACTCTCGGTCGTACCAGGGCATTTGGGGGCATTCTACTAGATTATAAGTGCTTAAGTTCATCAATTTAAGAGGGTCGGCTCTTTAAGCTTGCGTTCATCAGTTACATTACTTCTAACTAGTTGTTATAAAAGAACTTATAAAATTTTAGTTTAACTTGTGCTCAGATATTCGTTGCTCTTGTCCTTCTCTATTTATAACTCAATAATTTACATATTCTATTTTCGCTCCTACGGTCATTCGTTTAAAATCACCTCTGTCTGCTATCTGAGCAGCTAGATTTTGTAAAGAAAGTTCACAGTCTCAATTGGAAAATTTTTCGTGAACAAAACGTTTTTACGCACAGTTTTAAGTTTTCTACAATTTACTGAAACATATTTTATCCTAGCTATTTTTAATACACAGGTTTATTCAAAGTTTCAACCGTGCGAACTTAAGATTTGAGGTTCGACCAAAAAAGCTTAAAAATTGTACAAAAGAGATTATTGATGTTATACGTAACGAGTTTCCTAAACGATCAGGAATCGTTTATTGTCTATCACGTCGAGAATGTGATGTCGTAGCTGAGGAGCTAAAGGCCGCTGGACTTCAAGCTTCCGCCTATCATGCTGGAATGACAGATGCTCAGAGGCGAAATGTTCAACAGGCATGGATACAAGAAGATAAATGTAAGGCAAGTACTCTTTTAAGTCATACCACCTAGTTTTTTTCCGAAAACAATAGATTTAAAAATACATGCACTTAATATATTCTTGATTCACTTTCGAACTAAAGAATTTCAAACCCTGTGTAGGTTTGTCTAAAATAAACTACTTTTTAGTTCTGTTTAGATGCTTGTGACTCTTTTCCTCTATTTATTTTTTAAACAGAAAGCTGTGAGTAGAAGCTTTTTACACAATAGTTTATCGCTTTTTCCCTAAAAAAAAACGAGAAACCAACAAAACTAGAAGGCAATCTGAATTAACGCAAACTCGAAAACTTGTAGAGTATCAGGAATTTCTGAGTTCATAAATAAAAAAGATAAATGTAATTATTTGACCGTCAATCGTGATTTGTAAAGTTCTCGACCACTGTGTCTAGTAGAATATGTTTGACATCAGACAAAGTTTACTGCCTGACCGATTCAACGCCTTGTAGATGTCTATTTACATCTCTTAAGGATTCACAAAACCTTCTTTTCATAAGCATTATGTTTCTACAGGCTCCCTACAAGGTTTGTTTAAGGATCGATGAACATTGTGGTCAAAGTCTATCAACGGTTTGGAAGCAACATCTACATCTGGTAACTACCTGAAGTTGTGTCAACTCATTCAAACCACTAGCAGCAAGAAACCTAATGCCACTGAAACGGTTTATGAAGTTAATAAGACACCAAATTAATAATATTCAAAGGCGTCTGATACAACAGACAGAGTTTTTCGAGGAGCGGTTCAGCTAGTCTATTTCCCCGGCAACGTCAATCAAACTGTCCTGTCTTCTCTGACCGATCAATTTTTACGAAACGGAGGTCCGTAAGGAACTCTAATATTTAAGGCGTCCCAAACTACATCAGTCAGTCAGTGAGCTACAACGTAGCAGCAGGCATATATATGCATCGGTCCAAGTTGCCATACCTCATTAGCACAACAAGATGAACACCAACTTCATAGAAGTAGTTAATTCAATGATGATAATATGTAACAAATGGATTGCATATAAGGATATAGTACAGGAAGAAAGAATTAGTTGATAGAAAGAAAGATATAC